GGGGAGGCTTACAAGGCAGGAAATTACACAATGTTAGAATCCTAGAAAGCACTGAAGATCAGAGGGACCTTCATGTGGATATCCAGAGATCACTTAAATTAGCACGGTAGGTGTATAAGGTGGTTACAGCAGCATTTGGGATACTTGTCTTTATTAACTGAGGCGTAGAATAAAGTGGAAATGTCATATCATGTAGAGCTCTGGTCACATTATAGAAGGATGTGATCACACTACAGAGGGTATGGAGGAGATTTACCAGGATGCTGTTTGGGACTGAAGGGTCTGACCTATGAAAAAAGATTGGATAAGCTAGAGTTGTTTTCCTTGGAGCAGTGAAGGTCGAGAGCAAATCTGGTAGAGGTGATAAGAATTTTGAGGGACATTGACAGAATGGATAAAAAGGCATTTTTCTTCCATTAGAGGGGTCAATAACCATGGGAGATAGTTCAATCGTGTACCCTAAATCTAAGAGGAGAGGTGAGGAGAAATATTTCACTCAGACCATGGCGAGAGTCTGTTACTTACTACAGAAAGGTAGTTAAATCAGATACACTTGTAACACTTGAACAGCATTTAAATATTCACTTGCATTGTCATAGCCTCCAAATCTTTATTGATTGGAGTGGTCGAAATAAGCCAAATAGCCTCCTTCTAGATGTAAAGTCTATGAAAGCTTGCATCTTATGATTGGATAAAAACAAAATCCACTTTTGGTAGCCAGACCTTCAGCTGTGTAGGACTGAAGTTTGGAATTCTCTCCCTTAATCTTCCCACTTCCCCAAATTTCTTCTATGTTCCAAAGTTTCAATGCAGATTGATGTCAAATGTCGTTTGATAATTGTTCACGAAGCAGCCTGGGGAATTTAGTTACGTTAATGTTTGATAGAAGTGCAACTCGTTAGTCCTGAAAAATTTTCTAAGCAAAGAGGCTTGCATTTACGTAGCGTCTCTCGTTAGCACAGGATTTGACAAACTGCCTTACAGTAATTAAGAATATGAATGCAATCAACTGTTATAACGTCAAAAGTCAGCCAATTTGCACAAGCAAGATCCCACTGAAGAATAGTGCGCTAAATAATTTAGTTGAAGCAGTTTAGGACATTTTTTACATTAAAGGGTTAATTTTAAACACAAGTTGTACAACAATCAGTTGGCTCAGGGAGCAGAATAAGTTAGCACCTGAAAGTGACAGCTCTTGGTTAGACCACAATAGCAGTGCTGTGTACAAATGTGGCTGCCATATTGTAGAAATAAAGGGTGCAGAGCAACTGAAGAGGATCCAAAAAAAGATTTACAAAGCTGGAGACAGAGGACTGAAAGATTATACCAATTAGGAAAGGGGGAGCAGGCTGGAACATTTTACTTTTGGAAATAAAGAAAACGCCGATGACTGGCTGAAAGGAATTTGAAATTTTCAAAGGTTAACATTTGAGACAGTGTGGGTAAAGCAAAACCACAAACCCTCAATATAGCACAATCACGGGAGGGATTCAGAACAAATTTTTTTAACCAGGAAGTGGTGAGAATGTGGACATAATTACGATAGGCCATTGATGTGGATAATTATGGATCTAATTAAGATGCAACTCAATAAACATGCAAAGGAGAAAAGAATACAATTCTATGCTGTTAAAATTAGATGACATAGAAGGACATAAACAATGGCACACAAAGATATTAATGACCAGTTTCTATGTGATACAATCTATGTGAAGGGAGTAAGAGAGATTGATGTGGTGAGCGAAGAATGTGAAGGAGAAGAAATAAAACCTATACACATTAGATATGAACATGATACCTCCATGATGAACCTGTGGTTTGACACCAAAGTGGAAAGATCAATAACCACTATGACGTTTGTGGTATGTGCTTTGAGTGCTTAAGGTGGTTCTAATTCTGTTTCAAATGGGTTTTTTCTGAGTAGCAGGTTGGAGCGTTCCTCTTCTTTTTCGCCTCAATTATCTTTGCTGTAGGTGTTGCTTCATTCCAGGATCAGCTTCCATATATAACCTTGGCCCAAATGTCTACTCTTCACTCAGGCCAAGAGTATTAGCAAGTTATTCCACCTGGAGACCGGCACAGCCGAGTCAAACCTTGCTCTCACTGCCTAGAGAGGAGTTAACAGATAGCAATCTGGGATGGGAACCGTTAATTAATTTCACAATTCCAGGATGCTGGCTCATCTGTACCTAGCTGCTGCTCCAGCTAAAATCCACTGAAAGCATATTAAACTGAGACCTTTGAGTTGATGACATCAAGTATTGAGAGAATGGACTTGCAAAAATAGAGTCCAATATCCTCAGCCATCTCAAAATACTTCACAGCAGCCAAGATACTGGGAGAACCATGTACATCTCTCATATTCTAACAGGAACTTTAACATCCACTGTACAGGAGACAGTTTAAAAGCTCATCTAAAAATGGGCATCTCTAACAATGTAGCACTCCCACACTGGGGCATAAACTCCCAAGGTACAGATACAGACATTAGTTAAAAGACGTGTGGATCAGGCTCAGGGGCTCAATGGCCTGATCCTATTCTTATGTTCTGCCATAGAACTTGAATTGGCAGCCTGAATTCGTAAGTAGGAATGCTTTCAGTGAAGAGAACTCACAGTAGGGGGAGGAAGAGAACTGTCAGATTATTTCTGAACAATAACATCTCACAGCATGAATCACTGAAAGATAATATTTTCAAAATTTCAAGTAGTTATAGTTTAGCATTTGTATTAATTTTGAGTAATTTCATCTGAAAGCCTTAAGGGTGAAACACAGGCTCCATTTCAGAAAATCAAATTAATCCTTTCACGAAGTCACACACGAAGTTTGATGACTTCATTTGAGCATGTTTTAGGGGCTCATTGAAGATACAGGTGCAAACAAGACAATTATTTTTAAAAGCTAAATCTGTAACCTGCAGACTAGGCTCTCAGCATTGCTCTCCTTTTAACTTTAAAACCTACTATTGGCCTTCCTGAATACAGGCTGTACCTTGACAATACAGGGTTGGTGCATTTGGGTGAAAGCCAAATGACCATGTTAGGGAGAAAGGAATAGAAACAGAGAAAGGAGAAGGACTTTGGCCATTCGGCTCTTTGAGTCTGCTCTGCCATTCAATATGATAAATGGATGATCATCCAACTTAGTACCCTGTCCCAGCTTTCTTCTCGTAGTTCTTGAGACCAAAGGAGTCAACAAATTCCTTATTGAAATTTTTCAATGTTTTGGCTGAACTGATTTCTGTGATTTGCTCTATTACTGTTGTCACATGTATCGAGATACAGTGAAAAGTATTGTTTTGTGTCCTAATCAGACAGATTGTACCTTACAATAAGTACATCAGGGTAATAGAACAGAATGCAGGATATGGCGTTAAAGGTACAGAGAAGGTGCAGAGAAAGATCAATTCTAATATCTGAGGTGTCCATTCACAAGTCTGATAACAGCAGGGAAGAAGCTGTTCCTGAATCTGTTGGCACATGTTTTCAAACTTTTGTATCTTCTGCCCAACAGAAGAGGGTGGAAGAGAGTTTAACTTGGATGGGAGGACTATTATATTGGCTGCTTTCCCGAGGCAGTGGGAAGCGTAAACAGAGTCAATAAAAGGCTGAGAATTCCATAGGCTCACCACTCTCTGGGATAAGAAATTTCTCACCTTAATCCTAAAATGGCCTAACCCATATCTTTAGACCCGTGGTTCCGGACTCCTCAATCATAGGGAACATCCTTTCTGCATTTATTCTGTCTAGACCTATTAGAGTTTTACTGGTTTCTATGGGATGCCGTTCTCACTCTTCTATACTCCAGTGAATATAATCCTAATCATTCCAGTTTCGCTTCATACGTCTGTCTTGTCATCCCAGCAATCAGTCTGTTGAACATTTTCTGCACTCAGATTAAGATCTTGCTCAGATAAGGAGGCCAAAACTGCACACAATACACTAGGTGTGGTCTCACCAAGGTGCTGTACAATTGCAGCAAGCCATCCTGCTGCTGTATTCAAATCCCACTTCACTATGAAGGCCAACATACCATTTGCTTTCTTAAGACCATAAGAAATCAGAACAGGAGTAGGCCGTTTGTCCTCTAAAGCCTGCTTCACTATTCATTCTTTACCATCTGCTGCACTTCCAATGCTTACTTTCACGGCTTGTGTACAACATCACTCTGATCTCGTTGCACTTCTCTATTTCCCAATCAGTTGCTTTTCTGTTTTTGCTACAAAGTGGATAACCTCATATTTAACTTTATCTACCATACATTTGCTGACTCAACTTGTCCAAATCTCACCAAAACATCTCTCCATCCTCCTCATGACCTACCCTCCCCTTTCGCATTGCGTCAGCTGTGAACTGTTTAGATAGTTATGCTGACAGTTAGATGAGGAGGGGAGGAAACTTGTGTGGAGCACGAACACCAGCATTCGCTGAACAGTGTGCTGCTCTGCTGTATGTTCTAAGCAATAACACATAGTTGCAAATTAAGGACAGTAAATAATCTTGATATTCATCAAGTGACATGGTGTCATGGTAATGCCATAGGAGAATAATCCAGAAGTCCAGGCTAATATTCTGGAGAGTTAAGTTCAAATCCCACGACAGTAGCCAGTAAAATTTAAATTTAATCAATAAAACTGAAATATAAAGTCATCTCAATGATGGTGACCATGAACAGTATTGTCATGACAACTGACCATCATGCAAAAACCATCCAACTCACATTAGGGAATGAAATCTCCCAATGTTACCTAGTTTGGCCTACATGCAACTTCAACTCTACTTCCACGTGGTTGAGAACTTGCTCTTGAACCCCTGACAAGCACTGATTTCAAGGGCAATTAAGGACAGGCAACCAATGCTGGCCCACATTCTAGCTAAGATTACGGAATGAACCCTGTTCCCATGCCATGCTTTATTATACATCTATTAAGGAAATCAACTTCACTGGCATTATTACTTGTGTAATGTTTCATATTCCTTGAATGAACCCATTTAATTTACCTGTCCGCTGCTCCATCTTGCGCCACCGGACTAAGGCAAGTGCCAGCACTGCCACTGAAACTGGTTGAAGCAGAGCGAGGGGGCAAAGGTGGTTTCTCATCTTCACCATCTACAAAAGGATTTTAAAAAAAGTAAAAATCTACAGTTGGGTACATGCAAATAGTGTGACAAGGTAGAAAGACTTCAGTTCTCATTAAGAAGATGGGGCTGCCACACACCCAGTTGGGAAGAGGGGTAAAGTGAGGCAGAGGGATTTTGAGAGAGATTTCAAAAGCTTGAGGCCTGGACAGCTGAACAAGAGTCAATAGTGGAACGCAGAGATCTTGGAAGGTTGTGAAACTAGAAGACATCGCAAAAGCAAGAAGGGACCATGAACAGATTTGAAAGTAATTATGAGCATTTTTAAATTGATTCCCCAACCAGTGCACGTCAGCACGTACAGTGGGTGATGGGTGCATGGGACTTTGTGCCAGTTTGGGTACAGGCAGAAGAGTTTTGAATGAATTCAAGATTAAGGAAGCCAGCCTAGTGAACACTCAATCAAGACTATGAAGGCACAAAGGCATTGTTTTCAATGGCCAATGAGCTGAGGGAAGGCCAGAGATAGGCCACATTGCTGAGGTGGAAATAGATGGTCTTGATAGAGTGAATGCATGGTTGGAAGGGCAAGGTCAAACACAAAGCATGAACAGTTTGATTTAAATTCTGACAAAATGTCAGGTTGAGGAGTGTAGTCTGTGGCAAGGGAATGGAGTTAATGGCAGGGACTGAAGCAGTGGCTTTGGTCTACCCTCTATTTAGTTGGAGGCAATTATTGGTGACCTGGGACTTGATGTTGGAAAGCAATGTGGTAATTCAACAGCTGTGGCAAAATTTAGAGCAGTGTTAAAGCATAGCTGGGAGCCACTGGGATATAGAAGGAATCCAGTGTTATGTACCCTGCCTTATCAGCATGGAGAAATGGGTGACAGTCAAGGCTGCGATCACTGGAGGCACAAGGCGGGAGCAGAATGAGTGTCTTTTTCAGTGAATTTTTGGTTACAACTGAATAACAGGAATGGTTGGGGGAAATAAAAGTTTTCTCACAGGGATCAAAACTCAGCAGTAATTGAACCAGGTTCAAACTCACCAATCCATTAAGAGATTTACTAAATTACCAGCAAGATGAGGAGAAACTCCCAACTTTGTAAATCCAAATTTTAAAAATCACCATGACACTATGACCAATCTTAAAAAAAACAGGTCAAGAATTCAAGCCATCAGTGTGTTGACTGAGGGCATCTGTTTAAAAGGACTTGTAGTGGCTTTGTTTACAAGGAGGAATAGTGATAGCAGTTTTGAAAGCTGAGAAAAGGGTGCCATACGTTAACTAGTGGAGGCAGCAGAAAGGAAAGTTGAGTAGTTTGCAGCTCAGTGAGAAAGATGAGAAGAGAGTCAATGTCACTGGTGAGGTATAGTTGGAGATAGGTCAAGGAGGACCACTGGAGGAGAAGGAGGGGGATAATGAAGAAGCTACGAAAATATCTTTCCGGCTAAGGATTACAAATGAATAAATGGTCATTAGTCTTGAAACATCAGCTCCCATTGAGCTTAGGAAACTAGTCAGTGCTTGTAACAACTCAGGCCCTCCAAATAAGACAGATACCTGAATAGTCCTTGTCCTCGGCTGTTTCCTTTTTGTCCTCCCTCTCTACAGGGTACAGCAGTGTGCTGACCAGACCCTGGTTCGGCTGGAGGTAGGATGTGATAAGCTCAGTCAGTGTTTTGAAGCGTCTCACCTGCACACCTTGAGAAGTCTGTTTTAATGAAAATCACATGATCATCATCATCATCATTGCCTGAGCCCCCAGGTCCTTCTCCAAACCAACATCGATTTACACCATATAAAAACCAAAAGAACTGTGGATGCTGTAAATCAGGAACAAAAACAGAAGCTGCTGGAAAAGCTCAGCAGGTCTGGCAGCATCTGTGAAGAAAAAAATCAGAGTTAATGTTTCGGGTCCGCTGTTCCAAGGAAGGGTCACCTGACCCAAAACGTTAACTGATTTTTTTTTTTCTTCACAGATGCTGCCAGACCTGCTGAGCTCTTCCAGCAACTTACAATACATGGACTGCAGCACTTGACAGCGACTCATCACCAGTTTCTCACAGGATTTAGGGATGAGCAAGAATTGTTAGCCTTGTCAGTGACGTGAACAATCCATGAAGAAGTATTAAAAATTTACAGGACTTGACACCCAAACTTTTTCCCCTGACAGGATTAATCTTTGGAATTTGCTACCCCAGAAAGTTGTAGATGCTCCATCATTTGAATATATTCAATGTTGAGATGGTCAAATGTTTGGTCTCTCCTGCAATCATGGGGTATGGGGAGTTAGCAGGAATATGGAGCTCAGCGTGTTGCTCAGCCATGTACAGACTGAATGATGGAGCAGGCTCAATAGATCATATGGTCTACTCTTGCTCCTATCCCTTATGCTCTTTCAGCCACCATCTATGACCTTTACCATCTAGAAGGGCAAGGGCAACAGATACATTGAAACACCACCATTTGCAAATTTCCCTCCAAGTCACCCCACCATCCTGACTTGGAAATATATCTGTTCCTCCACTGTCACTGGGTCAAAATCCAGCAAGTTCTTCCCTTAAAACATTGTAGGTCAACTGTATCAAATAGACTGAAGTGGTTCAAGAAGTTTACCACCACCTTCTCAACAGCAAACAGGGATGGAAAATGAAATGTTGGTCCAGCCAGCGACACCCACATCCCATTCATGAACTTCTTAAAAAAAATTCAATCAACTTTTGTTCAGTGATGACTACCAAGTTGTATGTCCATAATTCTCCAATAGAATGATCATATCTAATTCTTGTGAAACCAAACATGCTTCATATATTGGTACTTTACCAACCAATAAATAGAAATGGTAATTAAAGATCACGTGTATATACCATACAGCTATGGAATATTCTGATCACATATTCAACAACAGAATCTGACTCATCAAGAAATGCATCGAGCTACATCTGGATTCCCAGGTGGCCGGTGTGGCTTACAATAACATTACATTAGTTCTATGCTTCTGTACTGTGAATAAAAAGCCAATCAGCTCCAGACTGCCTTCTCTCACCTGTACTGCCAGAAAATCATCTTCATCGGGTAAGATCCTGTATGTGTGTACATGCTTCTGATACCTAGAAGAGAGAGAAAAAAGGGATCTGTTAGTTTGTTTTTTACGCAAGCTGGTAAAGTTCAATGGCAGGACAGTCAGTGTCGTGTTGTGGATAAGTACACAATGCTCCTGTTGGCCTCGTTCTGCCGTGCAGCAATCGTGATTCGGTGTTCCTGTTTATTTGCTTACTTACAGCAGGGATATTTTCAGGAAGTTTTAAATCGATGGACACAGAATAAATTTCCCCAATCGGGGAGTTCTACTTTAGACAGCCCAGTGGGTCAAAACATCCTTCTGTGTCACTTCTATCATCAATTGTTGCATTAACAATGTCAAATTCCCTCCAAAATCACACATCATCACAGCTTAGATGGACACCACTGCTCCTTCCTCACCAATGGTTCGAATTTCCTAACAAGCTAGGAAATTCTCAGCTGCCTTTCAAGGCAGCAGTCCACTAACCATCTCTGAAGAACAATTAGGTATAGACAATAAGAATTGCGCTGACAAGGTGACACAGGCAGTGGATGAGGGCAGTGCTGTGGATGTTGCATATTTGGATTTTCATAAAGCATTTGATTCTCTGCCACATGACAGGTTGGTTAGCAAATTAGAATTGTTTGGAACTGATGGGCCCTCGGCGGCATAGATTACAGGTTGATTAAAAAGGCAGAAAACAGACAGTAGGCGTAGATAGGTATTTGTCAGGCTGGGGACAACTTTGCTGACTTTTTCTGCACCCCCCACCCCAGGATGATGACAGAGTAGGGCTCTTAAACCAGGATTTACCTGCTTTGATCATTTTTTTTCTTCTTGCTTTTCTACCCCCCCATTTTATTCTTTCTTTTAGTTTTTCAGTTTTTTTTTTCACCCCACCTTCTGGAGGGAGCTCCATTGTGGAAGCAGCAGCGATGGCAGTGCCTATAGGCCTGGAGCAGGTGCTTTGCGCGAGGCAGCTGGTGCGATGCTGCTGCAGCTTCTTGGAGGTCCAGAGTGTGGAAGCAGCTTGAGAGATCAGTGTTGTACCAGATCAGGATTCTGGTGGTCAGCGGCAAGGTGTCTGGTGAGCCAGACTGGACACTAGGAGTCCACAGTGGGACAGCATCACAGGAGGAGGGGGAGTGAGCACTCATCTGCAGGCTCATGGTTGTAGGATGCCTGGAATATTTTATTTTTTCAACTTTTATAATAAGGACTGTAATGTTTAATTTTTACTTTATTCCTTTATTTTTCTACTTTGTACTTAAGATTTTGTACCTAGGTGCCTTTGTACCTAAGATGGCACTGGGAATGGCTACTTTAAACCTTTTACTGTACTCCTGTGTCCCTATACTTGAGTGCATTTAACTGCACAATAAACTATTCTAATTCTAGGCTAAGAAGATACTTCATTGTCAATGGTACTAGAATAGTTCCCAAAGTCAAAACTGAAGACACTGTATAAATGTAAGTTCTTTCATGATTTGAAATAAGTCAATTTAGAGAAAACAAACCTAGGGAACTAGAATCATTTACTGAAATACACGAAAAACAAGTTGAAAACTGGATTTAACTGTATCAAATTCACAATGAAATATTCCTTCCAGCAGATGAAAGGCTTGGAGTGTTCAGAGACAATATCATAATGCCAGCAGTAAAGCAGAAACATTTAAAAGAGAAACGGTCCAAATACATTAAGAGTTGCATTCACATGGGGCCTTCCTCTAGGTCTCAAAGCACATCATTGCCAATTAAACAGAACTGAAGTCTAGCCACTGTTACATTGTAAGAAACATGGCAGCTAATTTGCACAGCAAGCTCCCACAAAAGGTAACACAGTAATTACCAAACAATCTGCTCTAAATACATTATTGGAATTGTAAAAGTAAACTTGGTACTGAAGAAAACTCCCCCCACGTTCTGTGGAACGGTAACACAAGATCTTTTATACTCAACAGGGCAGGCAGACAGAGCCTCAGTTTTAAGAGGCAGCCAAAAACCATCAACTCAAAACAGGTCATAATCCATCAACAGGAGAATTGCCAAAGATGAGCCCCATTATTCAACATAAAAGTGTCGACCAAACAGTGGAAAGGAAATTCTGGACTAAATTCATCAACTAGAAAGAAAGAGAGAATATCAAAAATACTGTTTCATGGTTGGACATTTTAGCTTTCTTAAAGAACAGACTGCATAGGGAGAGTGGTTGTGGCAAGACAGACAGCATTTATTTCCTGCGCTGGCTCCACAATTGCTTTCAAGAAATATGCACCAATAAGGACAAAATGCTACTTGATCTCATTCCGAGGTATACAGCAAGCGAAGTACAAGCAGCCTTAAAGCAGAAGATTTGGCAACTAGCGACTGTGATAAAATGAAGTTCAGTACCAAGGATTAAATGGAAGGTAAATAAAATGATAGATCAATGATTACAGCAATGTAAAACAGGATGCAACCCAGTTAATGGTGAACAGTGGAAAGGATTCCATGACTGAATGGTACCTAATTTGAAAGTAAGCCAGGAGACCAAATATTTTACTCAGTCAGGCTCTTCCCAAAATAAGAGTTGGAACCCCAAATGGGTTTGCAAGTTAAAATTTTGAGGTCGCAAGCTCTAAGGCACCAATGGCCACCATGAATCTCCATCCCCTGGCCCATTCTCACATTCCCCCAATCTTCTGTCACCCATCAGTTCTCATTGAGGGGTCACAACAGTTTTCAGGTCTTGAAACGTGGTCAAAGTGGGAAGTAGTTTGGTAATGGTTTAAGAGACCACACCCATTCTTTTCAGCTAAAACTTGCATTTCAAAGGAACTTTACACAACCACAAGAAATCCAAAAATGATTTATAGCCAATTAAGTATTTTTGAACTAGTCACTTATTATGTAGGTTTAAAACCAGCAAACCAATAAACAGATTTTAATTAATTGATCATTTAACTTATTTTGTGCTGTTTGCACATGGAAAATACTAGCAAGAATTCCTCAGCTCAACTTTGAAAATTCTCCTAGGATCTTTTACATAGACCTGATGCAGACCATACATCAACTTCACACCCTATGCAGAAGGCATAAACTCTGACAATGTAGCATTCAGTTGCAAAGCTCCCCAACTAACCACACATCCAGTTTGGCACAAGTTCCGGACAATATCCAGGCTTGGACTGACAAATGGCAAGTAGCATTAATACCACACAAATGCCAATAACCATCAACCATTTCCATATGTTTGATGGCATTACCATTGCTGAATATCCCATTATCAACATCCTGGGGGCTCCCATTGACCAGAAACAGAATTGGACTCGCCATACTTACTTGTGACTATGACAAGTTAGAAACTGAATTCCGCTGCAAGCAAGTCACCACCTGTCTCCCAAAACCTACCCATCGACAAGGCGCAAGTCAGGAGTGTGATGGAATACTCCTCACTTGCCTAGATGAGTGCAACTCCAACAATAGTCAAGAGGGTTGACAGCATCTAGGACAAAGCAGCCCACTTGATTGGCACCAAATCAACAAGCATCCACTCTGTCCACCACTGACACTCAGTAGCAGCTATATGTGCCATCAACAAGATGTACTACAGAAATCTGCAAAGATCCTTAGACAGCACCCTCTAAACTTACAACCACCTCCATCTATAAGAACAAGGGCAGCAGATACATGGGAACAACACCATCTGCAAGTTCCCCTCCAAGCTGCTCACCATCCCGACTCGGAAATATATCACTGTCCTTCTCTGTCACTGGATCAAAATCCCGGAATTCCCTCCCTAAGGACATTGTAGGTCTATGTACAGCACATGGACTGCAGCAGTTCGAGATGGTCAGCCAGCAATGTCCATATCCGACTCTAGGTCTAGGCTATCTTAATATATTTTGAGAGGGTCTGCTTTGGTCCACAACAAATTGGGGACTCGTCAGGATTAAAATTCCAGATTGGATTTAGGATTATTGGACTCAAAGGCAGCGGGTGGTAAGTGTTAAGTGTCTATTCACCTGGTTTAAACAGGGTGTGCCTTGCGCAAGAATGGCTCTTTCGGTTACTAAAAATTTGCTAGGACTGGAAGAAGTCACTTCGGAGTTTTACAGAGTGAGCAGGGCAAGGCATTTGGAATTGAAAGACCAGCTGGAGTTGCAGTTGCCTTTGTCTGTGCGAAGGCAGGGGTGGGCAGTGATTGCACCAATAGCTCAACATTTACAATTGCCAGAATCATTGGATATTGATAAAATTCAATTGCAAATGAACCTGATGGAATTAAAGGGAAAAGAAAGAGAAAAGGAATCAAAATAGTTTGAATTATGATTGAAAGTGGAGAAAACGCGGGGTGGGGGGGGGAGGGGGGTGAGGTGTGCTCTCCACCCCCCTCCAAGTTTTCCTCTGCTTTCAATCATAATTCAAACTACATCTCTTAAACCACAGCATCATCACGCTAGGAGAAAGCAGAAAGAGACAGGAAAAAGTGTAGCAAGGCTTTTACATTTTCAATCTACCTTGCAAGATTGACTCGTGGATTTGACTTCAGAATGCCTCATATGGAGTAAGGTTGTGAACTTGAAATTTTCCTACTTCTTCTGCACTGTCATAAAATCTTTCTTAATTGTCATTAACTGCCAGTAACTGTGCCTAACAAAACTGGAAACATTAAAAATAACTCACAAAGCCATCGAAACCAGACTATAACCCACAACATAGCATCAAATAAAATAATTAGTTAAATATTGGATATATCAAATAAATAGAATACATCCCAAAATGGTAAATTGTACATAAATGTATGACGTACCTGTCATTACTTTATTTCTCATGGGTATGCACCTATTTAGCTCTTTTGAAATTTTCCCATTTTTACCTACTGTTTTATCCACCAAAATCCACTTCCAATGAACCTTCTCTAGTTCAACTTTTAGACCCTTTTCTAGTCTGGGATCTTAATCATTGACTGATTTTATCCCTTTCTAACTTAACATTGAACCTATGATTGCTATTTCCCAAATGCTCCCCTACTCTGAAATTCTCCACTTAGCCTGCCTCATTTCCTGGGACCAGATCCAGCATAGCTCCTTCCTATTTCATTGTAAATCATACTTCTTGCTCTGCATAATCTATTTTGTGCATGTTAGTCTCAAACAACTACAATCTTCTATTGAAATATCCCAAGGCATTTCACAGTTGTATTAAAAAGCAGAATATAGGACCAAGCCACATACATAGAGAGGTTGGACAGGATATTTTCAGACTACATGGAAGGAGGAATTGATGCAGCTCCTTTCAATTTAAGTGTCTCACCCCTCCCCTGCTTTGTTCATGCCTTGTGCATATAAAATAATGCAGAGTTTGGCTCTGTGACACCATGTCCTACCATAGCAGGACTGGAATTTGACCGGTCACATGGAAGTGGGAATCTGCAAAGACATTATTAAGGGTCATTTTGTCAAGACAATTAATGTTTTGCCAGAAGTTCAGCTCCCCAACCTGATGGGGAGGTCTATCAGCTAAAAGCAGCTGACCTCCCAGTGGCAGCCCAGTGCTGAGGTGATGGGAGTGGAGCATCGAAAATATACTGTCAAGCAAAAGATGAGGCTGTGGGGAAGGAGGGCAGCCTCTGCTGCTACTGAAATTTCCTCAGCAGTTTCCCCTCCACCAACAGCAATTTCTTTCGAACATTCTTCAGCCTCTGATCCATAAGGTACAGAACCCCTCCCAATCTTACTCACTGATATACTCTCCACCTTGCTACTCCTCATCTAGCCAGTTAAAACTTCTCAACTGCTGTTTGCTTCACCTCACTTCATTAAAGGATGCCAGAGTTATAATCTAGAGGGACTAATAATCCAGAACCCCAAGCAAATGCTCTGAGGACACAGGTTTGAAACCTACTGTAGCAGATGAAGAAATCTGAATTCAATAAAATCTAAAACAGAAAACTAGCTTAATGACAAGTATGAAATCACAGTCTATAGTTGTAAAAACCCATCTGGTTCACTAAGGTCTGGTCCACCCATGAGTGACTCTAGCCCACTGCAACGTGGCTGACAGTTAACTGCCTTCTGTGCAATTAGGAATGAACAATAAGTGGCCTAGTCAATTATGCCCACATCCCACAAATGAATTTTTAAAAAGTTCGATACAAGTAAAAACTGATGCGATGGGACGGAGCAGTTTATTTAGCCACAGTGAGAGGCAAAGGGGAATGTGTTATTTTGAGTTGTCAAAATTTTCTTGCAGCTACAGATACTTCCTCTCCAGCTTTTAAGTATTACCACATGCAACACTAGTCCACATTGCAATACTGCATTTCAAAAGTATTGCAATGGTCACATCGCACTTTGGAGAAGCCTGAAGTTGTGAAAATGCACTAATAAATGCAAGTCTTATTTTAGGCAGGCTAGAGAGAAGAACAAAAGACTGCACTTAAAAAGAGACAATTCTGTTTTCACTGGTGTAAAAATATGAGCAGAAATGCACAATTATTGCTAGAAGTTTAATTACAGTACTAGAGTTTGTAACGGTATGTATGCACAGATTTCTTTACATTGTGTGTTTTAATTCTGCAGCCCTTTATCTAGCCAGATTTTGCAAGTTTTTTATAGCCTCAACTGCCTTTCCAGCCTCTGGAATTACTAATCAGTCTAAATGGAAAGAAGGAATCAAATATTCCTCATAAACCAGGACTCAATCAGGTCTGACTGCCTCTGACAAATACAGGTAAACAGGTCAGCACAGCACCAGGAACAACTAGGCTTCAACTCGTTGAAATGATTCCTGCACACCCAACAATTAATTACTGAAGCTTGTGCAAACATGATTGTTCATTATCAAGAGGATCAACATAATATAATACTGCTGTTTGTGAAAGCTTCACAAATCGTTCTTCAGCACAGTTCTAGTCACTCTGCTAGGAAGGATATTATTAAATTGGAGAGGGTGCAGAAAAGATTTACAAGAATGTTACTGGGACTGAAGGATTTGAGTTATCAGGAGAGGCTGGACTGGTTGGGACTTCTTCCACTGGAGCATAGGAGATTGAGGAGTGACCTTATAGAGGTTTGTAAAATCATGAGGGGCATAGAGAAAGTGAATAGCAAAGGTCTTTTCCCTAGGGTAGGGGAGTTTGAACTAGAGGGCATAATGTTAACATGAAAGGGGAAAGATTTAAAAAGGACCCAAGGGCCAACTTTTTCACACGGAGTGATTAGTGTGTGGAATAAACTGCCAGAGGAAGTGGTAGATGCAGGCACAGTTACAACATTTCAAAGACATTTGGACAGATACACAAATAGGAAAGGTTTAGAGGGATTTGGACCAAATGCAGGCAAATGGAACTCAAAATCTCCCCTCCCCCGACCACATCTCAAAACCAGCCCAGCTTGTCCCTGCCTCCCTAATCTGTCCTTCCTCCCACCTATCCCCTCCTCCTACCTCAAGCCCCACCCCCATCTCCTACCTACCAGCCTCATTCCACCCCCTCGACCTGTCCGTCCTCCCTGGACTGACCTAACCCCCCCAACTCCACATCTACACTCACCTTTACTGGCTCCACCCCTGCCTCTTTGACCTGTCTGTCTCCTCTCCACCTATCTTCTCCTCTATCTATCTTCTCTCCGCCTCCCCCCCTCTCCCTATTTATTTCAGAATCCCCTTCCCCTCCCCCATTTCTGAAGAAGGGTCTAGACCCAAAACGTCAGCTTTCCTGCTCGGCCTGTGTTCATCTAGCTCTACACCTTGTTATCTCAGATTCTCCAGCATCTGCAGTTCCTACTATCTCTGGGACTAGTTTAGTTTGGAAAATTTGGTTGGTATGGACGAGTTGGACCAGAAGGATCTATTTCCATGTTGTATGACTATGATTAGAACGACAAATCTTTCCAGATGCTCCCAATGGGTGAGGTGATGTCCTTGTGGTATTATTTGTTAATCCAGAGACCGAGGTAATGTCCTGGGAACTTCGGTTCGAATCCTATTACAGCATACGTGGGATTTGATGATCATGAAACTGTTTCTAATTGTTGGGAAAATCCACCTTGTTCACTAATACCCTTTAAAGGAAAGAACTGCTGCATTTACTGGCCTACCTGTGACTCCAGACCCACAGCCATGTGTTTGATTCTTAACTGCCTTCTGAGCAATAAATGCTGGCCTAGCCACTGACACCCACATCTCATTATGAATGCATTAAAAACAAGAATTTTAGAAACCACAACAGGATTTGAGACATCAAGATGGTTAACAGATGCTGTATGAATGAAACTGTTAGCACTTTTATTACAAGAGGAAACTCTTTTGGTCAAGTTAATGTCTGATCATACAGAAACAAGCTATGAAGAGTGCCTCATGCACTTTCAGTCTCTCAACATCAAGTGTGGACGGTACTCTACAAAAGTCCAAGGAGTTTAGTCACAGGTTGGAATCTGGATGTGTTGATCTTCAAGGAAATACATTATAGAACATAGAACATAGAACATAGAACATAGAACATAACAGCGCAGTACAGGCCCTTCGGCCCTCGATGTTGCACCGACCTGTGAAACCAATCTGAAGCCCATCTAACCTAA